TCCTTTTGAATTATATTTTTTCAATTGATTTTAAAGAAAAACTTCATTATATCAATTTTTTATCTCAATATTGAACGTACGCTAGTATAATAATGATAATTTAAACTGACTGAAGTACACACATTTTACACAAATATATTTATATAGATATCGTAATGTCAATAGTTACAATAACACTTTTGGTGAATAAAATACATATTGTATATAATGACATTTTTGTTCAAGTAGTATCTATTCATATATATATATATATATATATATATATCATATATATCAATTTATCTATTTTGTATTTAGTTTCATTCATCTTAATCATGATCAGAGTCCTAATCACTATTATTTTAATAATATTGTAAATATTAGGCCACTAAAGTTATAAAATTTCTATCTATATTTTTTATATATTTTGATGATGATTGTATAAAAAAAAAAACATTTTTAGCAAAAAATATTTCAAATTAAATTCAAGTATCAATATCAATTATCAATTATTATACCAAACTATAGTTTTGTTATAATAAAAAATATTATGCTAAGAAACTTTATATTTTGATTTCATTGGACACTGATCATCAACAATATTCTACAATCTTATACATACTTATGCATACTTATAATTTTATTCAATCACTATTTTTTTAAACTACCATATTTTAGTATACAATAAGATTGCACATATACTTAGAAAGAACATTGCTATTTAATATACATATGTACAATTGTAATAATATTTTTTTAATTATAATTAGTAAAATTAAATTTTAATTTAATTTTTTTTAGAAAGACATCCATATCGTCAATATTTAATTTTGTGTGCAATTCTTTTCTTTTTTTATTAGAATTTTGAGATAACAAGTTTTATAGTGATTTTTACATCGATATTTATAATTATTCGGTAGATGAATAAAGTGCATATAAATGTTATTCAAAATATAATATCCTTCTATTAACACACATTTAAATATTCCTTTAATTTTCAGGCTTATTAATCAAAAATTAATTTCGTCTCTTTATCATTATATTATGCAAGTTAGTGATTATTGTGATATTCGAAGAATATTACATATAAAAATATGATAATATCTAGACCGCATGATTTCGGCAGCTGCTCAAATTTTGTTTCGATTATTAAACTTAAGTACATCAACGATTATATGTTATATAAATATTTCTTACGACCAGCGTTGAATAGTAACATTATATTCTTATTCATAGTAATATAATTATAATTAATTAAATTCAATTTCTGACAACTAATTCTTCATAATAACTAATTCTTAAATATATAAGTTTTTCATGTATCAATGTAGTTAACATTCTGAATAGGATACATATAATTATTTAAATGATGTTTATATTTATACATATAATAGAAATAAAATATAGATTTAAAACATTTTCACTGTTTTTTAGTACCATTTATGTTTAAGCAATAAACTGGAACAACTTGTACAAGTGAGAAAAATCATTACATATTTCAACACTGATCATAATGCTTTTAGAACAATTTTTACATTTTTTACGATTTAATTATAATTGAGTAGATAACAATTTATTATAATAATTAAAGAAAAATAACTATAGGAAGATGAAATTATAAAAAACATAGACTATTATTTTAAAATTAAAGACATAAAAACAACATACAATATTAAGGCATTTAAAACAAGGCTACCTATTATGCCTTGGTAATGAAAAAAAATATGAAAGACAAATGACTTGTCAATCTGATGATAAGTTATTTTTTAAATAGAGAAATAGAGTCATTTTTCAAATGAAGATTAGCACAATAATTAATGCAAAGATCAACTTTGCTTTTTTTAAATAAAATCATACTTTATTCTATTTGTAATCGATTATTTTAACTCGCACGTAATGATTTAATGTTGTTATTAAGTCGTTAAGAATTAATATAATACAATGAAAATAAAATTAATTTGCGCTAATTTAATTTCAAAAAATTACTGAAAGCAATTCCTTGAAAAAATTATTTCCATAATAGTTTATTTCTAAAGACTTTTGTGTGTGATTTTTATAAATTATGTCTATGTAAATTATATATGTGTAAAACATTATATTAGAAGTAAAGAAATTTAAAAAAAAAATCTTTATATCTTCTTTATTTCTTTATAAAAAACTATTGATATCAAATTATATCTTTTTTTAATTGAATATAATTATTCTATCTCTCTATAGATTTTTTTTTAGATTATTTAAATGATTTATTTTGAATGCTTAGCTTAGCATTTATAGATTAACATTTATAATTAAAAGATAATTCTTAATTTTATTACGAAAAATTATTAAAAAAACAGTTGCCCTTGTAAACCATATATTTTTGGCACAAAATAGAGATACTCAATGTAAGGGCCTGTCATTTAACTTTAGCAATAATGATTCATTATTTTATATATATATATATATATAAAATAATGAAATTTTATGAAATAA